GAAATGTCTGAACCTAAGTTTAAATTTTGAAGCACCATTAAGATTTCACAAGGGAACTCCTATTCCTAATCCTAAAACAAATTGAAATGGCAAAAAGAACTGGCCCATCTCAATGGAACATAGCCTGCCCTGAGACACAGGCCCTTGAGTCCAGGCCTACCTCAGTCAAGCAGACTTCCTTTCCTTCCCACTGCAACTAAGAGTGAAATTGGAGCTCTAGGATTGGAAACCAGGATCCCAGGGACCCCAACACCCTGGGGTATTCAGTAACAGCCCCCATCAGGCCAAATTTCCAAACCCATTAATTCAACCTATAAAAGCATAGTTCCTGTTAAGCCTAATAAATACAACTAACAAAAGGTCCAGATCCATTTTTGTGGACTGTGGTGACGTTGAGAATGACTATGAGTCTCATAGAGAGCCCTATCTCAAAACTCTCCCCCAGAAGAAATATACTGTGGACGGTTTGCTTCCCTAGCTTAGGTCCTGGAAGCAGACACTTTTCAAATGAAACATGTCAACGTCTATCCAGAGTAAGGTGTTGGTTAAGCACAGAAAAGCTCTAAAGACAGCCCATCTAGGTTCAAGTCCCAATTCTACCACTTGGAAACAAAGTGGCTTTGAACACATTCCTCTTCCCTGAACTTTGATTGCTAGCTGTGAAATGAACGTGATGACAGTTTTTCATAAAATTATCATGAGAATCAGCTGAGACAATGAATGTTTCGAATTGGGAAGAAAGCATAGCACATGATGATGGGTGAAGTTTAGCTGGTGACAAAAAGAGCACCTTGTAGCTGTCTTGAGATCAATCAGTTATCTCAGAGATGTAAGGACTAAGGACTCAGGCCTCGTGGATCAGGCTTCCCTTCTCACTCAATCATTCCGGTCAATCAGCATTTCTGGGTTCTTGGGTCAATCCCTGGCATTTTCCTCCAGGTACAGGAAGAAGATCTAACCCCAGGAGACTTTTTAAGAACTGACCCTCAGCCTCATACAGCTCCAGCTTTCCTAAAGAGCTTCTATAAGGACCTTATGGCTGAAAAAGAACTAATCAGGTTTCCACTGCCCTGAAGTTCAAAGCAATCTTGGCCTTCTCCTCTCTTCTCCAATCTCCAAACCAGGCACTTCTCAAGTGCATTAAAAAAAAAAAAAAATCCCTTCAAAACCATCTGCAGAGCAATGACCTTCTCAAGTGTGGTAATAAAATTGCAGTCGTGTACATATATACCCCCTTCCTCTAAAGTCTAAAATCTTCCTGGGCCAACTGCCAGAAACCACTCTCAACTGGTCTGAGCCAGCGCTCTCAGATCCCAAGAATCTCCTAGTGTGGTCTGTCTCCACTCAGACTCCATTTACTCCCAAGTTTCACAGTTCAAAGCTTCCAGGCTAAGTAGAATCCTTATGCCTGTGCTCCCAAAGCCAGGGTCTCAGACTTCATTATTTCCTTGAAGGCAAAGGGAAGGATCATGTTTACCAGTCCATATGGCAATTATCCAGATTATCGGGAAGTGATTTTGTGCTTGGTCATTTACTGATCCCACAGCTCGTGTGGCTAGTTAATACTAAATATCTGATCGAGGTTTGAGGTCTATGCTAACGTAAGTGCTGGTGTCCCACTGTTTGAGGGTACCGAAAACTTCCTCTCATCCCAAGCCTTGGGGTAATCTTGTGTTCTTGCCGATCTAGATTACAATGTTCAGACTCATCCACACCAGGTAGGTGGGGTGAGGGCATCGAGGGAGAATACCACTCCTAGAAGGTGGATGGGTCAAGAGAAGTCCTCTTGGCATTTGTACTCTCCTAGCTTTAAAATCAGAGGCAGGCATGTCCTGAACATTTGCAGGCTTGGGAAAGAACAAAATAAGAGCCACTTAGTACACAGCCCCATCTTAATAAAGAGCTGTATAAATCAAGTTATTATTATGGATATGATTAAATCATGAGGGTAGAGAGCCCTTTGAAAAGATGTCTGAGGGAGCATGTTTCCCTCTACCACATGTAAAGATGCCCATCTATGAGGAAGAAGCCCTCACCGATAGACACCAGGCTCCTTCCAGGTAGACCCTGCCCCCAGGCTCCAAAACTATAAGCAGAATCTTTCACTTATTAAAATTTGCTCAAGATGAGGGATTTTGTTGCAACCTAGACTATAAACTGGAAGTGTACACACCAACTGAACAAGCTGTCACTGGGAAGAAAAGAAAAAGGCAGGCTGAGTAGGGGACTCTGGGACCCTAAGTACCAGAAGGATAGTTTAGGAGAAAAGGGGTAATGCCCCATCAGCCCTGCACACCCCCAGCCCCAGAGGGAAGGCCCAAGCAGGATGACCTGACATGGGAACCGGGCGCTGACCTGTACCCTCTGCGGGTTCACTAGGCAAGCCTTCAACAGCAAAGGCAGATCTGATGCAGCCTGACACTGGCTCCCTTACATTTGGGAAGTAAGAAAGTAGACAGAGCAATACAAAAGAAAAAAATACTGTTTATTCACACAACTACATCAAGTGCTTCTCCTCTGTTCTCCTCCCAGCTTCCAGGGGCGGTGCCCCTTGCTGGGAGACCCTCAGGACATCAATGCCAGAAACTGGCCTAGGAGGCAGAAGGGAATCCTGGGCATAGGAAGGTGACTGGATTTTCAAGAACACAAACATGTCACAGGCTTTCTCATTCCAAACTCAAGTACGTTTAAGTTCATGTGACCAGTTTCTTCTCTGGACTTTGCTTGGATAAAATGCCACAGTTAGCTCAGGGTCAAAGGGCCAGATGATTCAGCAGGTCATAGACAGTCCTAGCTTCCTGTCACTTAAAACTAACCAACCATACAGTTAACCGACTTCTGCCCAATCTATCTTTCAGAGCAAAGTCATTGGGCCTGGCTTAGGTCCAGGAAGGTGCTTTCAAAATAAAATTATTAACTGTTTTTTAGAGTCTAATGCTCCCCAAACCCAAAAACTGCTTTGTAGGTCAGTGGCTCAGATTGGGGGGAGCAGAGGCAGAGTTTATGGGCCAAAGTGAACTATACTTTGAGTATACTTAAGCATACCTTGTACGCCCCTATTTGAGAAACCTAACCTGTAAGCATCTGGGCTCTTGTACAGTTTTCCTGAATGACCAACGCTGCTTTTCTACACAGAAGAAAAATGTGTAGCCCAGCCTCGGGAAGACAGAGTTAGATCAAGGATGGGTTGAGAAAGCATGGCCAGGCTTAATTTAGATCAGTGGTTCGTGATTTTTTTTTTCCTATCATGCCACACAACAGATGGTATCCTCTTGCTTGCCCACAGCATGGCCACACTCCATATTACATGTCACCCCACACAAAAGCAAACAAACAAACAAACAAAACCGAAATGAAACAAAACAAAACAAAACAGCACTCCTGAGTGCAGGTTTTGAGCAAGAAAAGCTGCATATAATTTCTCAAGTGAATCACTTTGTAAGTTCCAGGATATAAGCACCACTCCTGACTTCCCAGCCCATGGAAGCAGGCTGACAATTACAATCTAGAGGGAGCTTCCTCCTCTGGGAACATTCTATTCTGGGCAGCAGAGTCAGGAAAGCTGCCCACCTGCCTCCTTATTCACAGACTCCAGCATGTTTGGTTGATTTGAATGCAGTGAAGTGTGTGTGTGTGTGTGTGTGTGTGTGTGTGTGTGTGTGTGTGTGTGTGTTGATTCAGCACACAACTGTCCTTATCTCACTGTCAGAGCTATCAGAAGGTCCTCCACACTGGTAACTGCAGGACCCAAGAGGGACTAGCAGTCACCAGGAAAGGGAACAGAGTGCAGGAGAGGAAGCTAGGCCCCAGTGTCTCTGCACTGTGACCAGCAGAGAAGGTAATGTGTCCTTGTTTGGCTGTCATTTCCTCAGGGCAGATAACATGAGGTACAGGGTGGACATAGACTAAAGAACAGGCTCTGTAAGGCTAAGAGTAGAGAAGAGCCAGGCACCGTGACACATGACTATAATCCCAGCAGTTGGGAGGTGGAGATAGGAGGATCAGGAGTTCAAGATCATTTTCAACTACAAGTTTGAAGTCAGCCTGGGCTAAATGAGAGCCTATCTCAAAAAACAAAACAATGGGCCAGGCATTGGTGGCACACATCTTTAATCCCAGCACTCGGGAGGCAGAGGCAGGCGGATCTCTGTGAGCTCTAGGCCAGCCTGATCTACAGAGCGAGTTCCAGGACAACCTCCAAAGCAATACAGAGAAACCCTGTCTCGAATAAAAACAAAACAAACAAAAAACAACAACAAAACCACAAACTAAACCAAAACGTAGTGAAATGGTTGGCCCCTGCAGCTTGTAACCTGTTAGGGACAGTCTACATGACAAGTCTGGGGTCATTCAAGCAAACATTTTAACCTTTTCCTGGCTTCCTGAAACTTAATACTAATTTTGATCCCCCTCCATGCTAAAACTGAACCTGGAGCCTTGCACATGCTAAGTTTTTGACCACTGAGCTACATTTCCCAGTCAACACAAGTAAGAGAAAGGACTGGCCAGCCTCCTTGTGGCTTGAAGTTCACTTAGTGGCTTGGATATGATGCCGGCCTCCAGCGTGCCATCACCTACAGAGGCGAAGTCCATCCCAACCTGGGGCACTCTTGGCTCAGAGGAGCATTGCAGAGGGGGTGGGGAGGGGCTTCTCACACAGACTTGGTCTGCAAAGTGAGAGGACTCCAACATCCAAGACTTAAAGTTACAAAGAAAACTAGAGGCAAGTCAGCTTCAACTAGAGGTCTTCCTGGACCGTCATCTTTCTGGGTATTGTCTTCCTCCCCACTCCAGCTCCTTGCTGTCTGGCTTATTATTCAATTTGCTCCTCTAAAGAGACCTCAGTGCTAGACTGAGATGGGTATGGGCATGAGAGAGAGAAAGTCGGTATGGGAGCCCCTGCAGCTGCCAGAAGAGGCTGGCAGTGGAAATGCTCCCAAGCCGACAGCTCTCTAGAGTGCTTTGCTTGGGAGACAGCCATGATGAAGATCAGATTAAAATCTGGACAGATGACCTTATTTACTAAGTTCCAGACCTGCAACAGACCTAAGACTCTCCAGGATGGGGGAGTTTGCTGTTGCTTCCCTTCCAACTTGGTTTGCAGAGGAAAAGGTTCTGCATTAGTGCAATCCCACTACCCCCAGGACCACAGTAGGGACCTCACAGCATCTGACCTCACAGCTTTGGGGACCTTCTGCCCTCGAGGTCAAGGCAGACAGTGAGTCACACCTTTCTGAATTTCATCTCCTTGGTCCTTTAAGGGTTTCAATGTGCCCGTGTAAAATGTAAAGGAGGGCAGTGTGAGGCTGAGGTCCCACTTGGTGAGTTGTCATACTGGTACAACCACAGAGGAGCTAGGGGGAAGGGGTGGAAAGTACCACCAAACACAAGAGCTAATGCACAGTGCTCCCCAAGAGTTCCTATAGCCCCGCCCCAAAGACAGCTGGTTCCCAACCAGAATTCACCCTTCAGAAACCATGTTGTCAAAGTGCTTTTCAAAAAGACACCACAAATGCCCTCCTTCCATGTGCCCAGCCCAGAGCCTAGGGCTCTCATGCAGCCCCTTGGGCCTCCCCAGGGTGTGACATATGTGGGCAGAAGAGGCAGGCATTGACACACATGCACAGGTGGAGGTCTCATGACCTAGGGCAAGCACAGCTGCACATGGTACTGTCACTGCAGTGATGACAGCTGGCTGCTGTGGGAAGAGTAGAAAGTGCTGGAACAAGGGCCAAGACGAAGCCCTAAGGGATCTGAAAGACATTCAGCTTGCTGGTGTTTTTGAGTGTCTGGCGTCGGTTACAGAACCAGACTCGAACCACCTCACGGTCATAGTTGAGCTCCTTAGCGATCTCGGTGATCTCCTGGCCAGTGGGCAGCGGGTTCTTCTCAAAGTAGGCATTGAGAGCCTCTATGGCCTGCGGCGTGAAGGAAGTGCGCCGCTTGCGTTTCTTGGAGGGCTCACCACCCACAAACTCCATCAAATTCTGCTGCCCTTCCTGGTTCCGGAGCTCTGCCTCATTCAACCACTTCTCCAGCACCGGCTTCAGCTTCTGGGCGCTCTTGGGTGTGATGTCCAATTTCTCAAACCTGGAGGCAGCACAGACACTGTAGCTATCTCTTCCCACAAGGGAAAAGCATCCCTCACAGGGGCAGCTCCCCTCCTACTCAGTGTTCCCACTCTCCTGGCCCCTCAAAGCCCAGGTTCCTCAGACTTTCCATATCCTAGGCCTCAAGGAGGAGACTATGCCCACAGCCTCTGCTAGGCAGGTAAATGACAAGTGTGCTCTAACTTGACTAGAGCTTTCACCCCCAAATAACTGGAAGTCCTTTGGGGACTCATCTTGAATGGCCTCCGGAGACGAAGGCCACTCTCCTCTCACTATGCTCCCATGGCAGCATCACAACAAGGCCTGCTGAGCCTTCAAGCTGAGTGGACCTGGCAGACATGGGAGGCAAGACAACCAGGAGCACACTGGGATACCCCTAGCTGAGGGCCAAGACGGACCAATTTTAAAAGTGATAACCCTTTCCTGTTAGGATTCTTCAATGGCCTCCCTCAGGTGGACATCTACATACTCAGGATTGGAGTCTATCTAAACTTTAGAAGGCCCCGGTCAGTCTTTGGCTACTCCAAAGGTCCATGTCCTCCATATGACAGTCTTCCTCATCTGGACGGAGACAGCATGAGGGGAAACAAGGAAAAGGACTGGATACCCAGATTCCCATGAGAGTTGGCTATGGCATGGAGCAGCAGGCCCTGGCTTTATTCTGGGGTAGTCACACTTACCGGCAAATGGCTGATTGACTGTAGGCTGGGCCTTCTGTTGCAGTCAAAGCCTGACCCACCTGGGTCTGTGTGAGACCCAAGGAGAGCCTCCGGATCTTAAAGTTCTTGGCAAACTCCCGGATCTCTTCTAAGTTGATCCCATCCTCATCCAAACTTGGATTGTGCGGCTCTAGGACAGAGGGAAGGCCCAGGGATGAGAGCGTGAAGATGAGAGAGTCACACTGCTTATCTGGCCCAGGAGTCTAGACTGGTATAGTAAAAGGCACGAGGACACATATCAAAAGACTCTCATCACCGTATCCCCCAGACAAGCAGGACTTGCAGGAAAGGGCTCTAGAACGACCTACCGAGGTGGTCTATTTTTAAGTTATCCCAGGTCTAACTCTCCCACGCTTACTACTCGGGTCCCAGGCACAACTGTCGGCCATCTATGTTCCTCAGAACTGGGTGACAGATCACACTGAGCCAGGTAATGGCACAATGTAACCAGACAGGAGGCTTAACAGCCTCCACTTTCATTATGCTCACAGTCACCTCAACAGGAAAGGGCATAAAAAAGCCATCTCTTGGTAGAGGGCAAGAGACTCGGTGGGTAAAGACACCTGCCACTCAGCCTGAGGACCTGAGTTCAATCCCTGGGACCCACACTCACACAGTAGATACTCATGCCCCACTCCTAATCCCAAACAAATAAATTAATGTAAAACAGAATTGAAAGTTACCCTCTTTCCATTTTGAGCCTCTACTCTTTCCTTTTGGACACAGGGAATTTATGGACTTATTGAGACCAGGTCTCATTAAGCTGGCCCTCAATTCCTGGGCTCTGAGACTCCTCTTGTCTCAGCCTCTTGAGTATCTGGGACTAGAGGTACATGCCAAGAACCCCAGATCCACATTCTTCTTCTAAGAATCACTTACTTGATACCAACTGACTGACGGTAGGGGTCTCGGAGCAGGTGATTGGGATGGGAGCCGAAGCAGATGGCTTGACTCCTGGGGCCGGGCTGGTGATGACCACGGCAGGCTGGGGTACAGCTGGTGTCGGCTGGATAGGCTGCATCTATGAGAGAAGAGACACAGCCCCATGACCCTTGTCTAACTCAAGGGGATCACAATCCCTGGGCAGACCAGCACTACAACAGAAATGCACATGAAATCCTTACCTAGCCAGACATTCCCACCTGTGCTTATCAAAAAGAAGAACTATATGTTGCCTATTAACATTAACAATAAAAGGGTTTGATCTGTTTCTGTGTCCAAGGATGACCTTGAATTTATAATCCCCCTGCCTCCACCTTCCAAATGTTGGGGTTACTAGTGTGTATCGCCACACCTGCCTTGATTCCTATTTTTTTCTCTCATGTGTCTGTGTTATGCATGTAGGAGGCATATATGTGTGCCATGTGAGTGTGGAGACCTGAGGCTGACATTGAGGTTTCCACCTTATTCACTGAAGCGGTCTCTCTCAATTGTATCCAGAACTCACTGATGTGGCTGGCTAGTGTTTCTGGGATCCTCTGCCTCTGCCTTCTGAGTGCTGGAATTACACATGGACTATCACACTCACCCAACATTTACCTGGTGCCTGGGATCCGAACTCCAGTCCTCAGACATGCACAACAAGCACTTGAACCACTGATTTTTACTTTTTATATGACACATAATGTCATATAATGTGTCATATAAAAAGTCTGATTTTTACTTTTTATATGACACATAATGTTGCAATGTTAATGGAAGTTATAGATCTTATTTATGATCAGGAAAAACTACAAATATCTGAAATTAGCATTATTAGTATGACTTTAAAACAAAAACAGCTGGGTGTGGTGTACATCTTTAATCCCAGCACTCAGAAGGCAGAGGCAGGCAGATCTCTCAGTTTGAGGCCAGCCTGGTTTACATAACAAGTTGCAGGATGGCCAGAGCTATACAGCGAAACCCTGTCTCAAAATAAAAACAAACAAACAAACAAACAAAAAACCATAAGCTTTTAAGAAACCCAGGTTTTTCCTGGATTTTCTGTTCCTTGGATTCTGCCTCCTGCTAGCTCTCAAACCTGTCCCTTAGTCCTCAGGATCTGACTTTAGTCTTTCTCTACAACTACCAGGGCTGAGAGAACAGCACGCTGATGCTGTACTTGGTATGAGCAAGACCCTGGGTTCAATCCCCAGCACCACTGAGAAAAAAGGAAAAACTGCCTACTACGGGACAGGTCACAGAGTCCAAGCCACACAGCAGCAAATCCTTGACTCCACCCAGGTCGGGGGCTTTTCTAAGATGGACATCTGTCAGCCCTTGATGCCCGGCAGCAGCGTTCTCTGTAACAACCATCAGAACGACCTGTCTGTGATTGTATCCCAGAGTGACAACGCCAGCTCCTTGGTATAATATTCATAAACTTCTGAAGAGGTTTTCTTGTTTGCTTGTTTATTTTGTTTTTTGAGGCAGGATCTCATAATCCAAGCTGGAACTGAACTCCCTATATAGACCAGGCTGGCCAAGATTACAGATGTGCACCACCACACATGACAGAAGTAGGAATTCTTTTAATCTCTTCCTTCCTTCTTTCCTTCCTTCCTTCTTTCCTTTCTGTGCATTGATGTCTTGCCTGCATGTATGTCTGTGTGAAGGCATCAGCTCCCCTGGAACTGGAGTTACAGACAGTTTTGAGCTGCCATATGGGTGCTGGGAATTGAACCCAGGTCCTCTGGAAGAAGAGCCAGTGCTCTTAACCACTCAGTCATCTCTCCAGCCCCCAAACTTAAGTCTTTTTTTTCTTTTTGTTTTTGCTTTTTGAGACTGGATTTCTTTGTGCAGTCCTGGCTGTCCTGGAACTCACTTTGTAGACTAGGCTGACCTCAAACTCAAGGATTTGCCTGCCTCTGCCTCACAAGTGCTAGGATTAAAGGTATGTGACACCACCTCCCAGCAGAAGCAGGAATTCTCTTAGCCACTCTCTTCTGGATGAGGTAAAGGGTTATTTAAAAGCTTCTTGGAAGCAACATATAGTATTAGACAATCATGGGCCTAAGTGTCATCTGGGAACTCAGAATATCCTTGGGTCTCACTTCAAATCTACTGAAAAAGAAACTCAACCCCGTGGCGCCCTGCAGGAGACCCCAGTACACAAATCTGAGAACTGTGCTCTGTCTGCCATGCTTGCTCCAGTTCCCAGAGATAGCACACACTCTATCCAACTCATCCTTCCTCTCTGGAGCTGTCCTGACACCAGGTTGTTAGGGCTTCATTTGTGGGGTATCACAGCCCCTTATTCATGCCTTCCTTGAAGTCTTCTCAATGCTGACACCTCCAACACTGAGCTACCTAAGGCTAGCAAACGCATCTCAGCCATCTTTGTATCCTTAGCATTGGGAATATAATAGGCACTCAAAATCTCTTCTAGAATGGTAACAAGTAAGAGTCAAAGTGCCCGGTGTGTGGTGGTGGGCTTTTCTAGTCATTTGTTCTCACAAAGGATGCTCAGTGTCCAGTCTTCTCTGCTTACTTTACTTCCCACCATCTCTGACCTCTGTGGGCACAGATACATGCCATGGTAGCTGGTGGGCTGAGAATGGGTGCTGTTTCCCTGGGTGGAGTATGTGTGAACTCAATAAGCCTTCTGTTGGGGGTAGGGAGCTCCTCACTTTTGAAAGGTGCCTTGTTCTCCCCGAAGTTTCAGAGGGAAGTAGCCATGCTAGATAGTCTCCCCTTCCCATACCCATCCACACCCCCAGCCCTGGTACCTCACTCTTAGCAGGGGACTCCGGTGTGTTTGGCTTCCGGACAGCCATAGGTTGAGGCAGGGGGCTGCTGGCTAGGGTTGCGATCACCTGGCCCTGGGCATTCAACAAGAGTTGGGGAGTCACAGCTTGAACCTGCAGGCTCTGGGCTGGTGCTGGTGTGGCCACACTAGCCGAGTTCACTACCCACGGAAGTGCTCCAATAACCTGGGAGAAAATAAAGTATGGTCCCCGAGTATGAGGGGTGGGGGTGGGCATCCAGGACCACCAATTCAGATCCCTATAGTTGCAGGCAAAGAGACTAACTCGGCTTAAGTATTCTGGCCTCTGCTTCCTCAACAGAGTAAAGAACTCACACCCATGGGGTTCCTTTCTTTGCTCTGTCCCTGGAGCTGTGGTGGGGCAGGCAAAGGCTTTTTTGTGTATCAGAGAACTGTAAGCTCTTTGCTAGTCTGCTACATGTTAGCTGTGGGGTTTAGTTTTTCTGAATTTCACCCTCCTTGCCCATAAAACAAAAGATCCCCTGATAGGTTTCTACTCAAAACCAAGTGAGTTAATACGTGAAAAAAAAGCACCTAGCATGAGGCCTGCCCATAAAGCAGGTACTATGTGAATAAAATCCCCCAGCTAGAATTAACACTGCCAGGGTAGAGTGGTGACTATACCCCACCTGGACTCCATGTTAGTGGAGAGCTGCCACAGAAGTTATGAACAGCAGCCCCATGCCCTATGTGAATTTCTGTGACATGACCTAAGGCCAAGTCCTTATCTCTTCCTAGCCAGCTGTCCCACAACCCCTACCCCTTAGCCCTGGCTTTGACCACTTGCCTGTCCCTGAGCATTGGTGAGGATCTGACTGCTGATCCCTGGCATGCTGGGAATGGCGTTGGTAATGACTGGAGCGGTAGTGAGGGAACCCAGGATCTGGGTCTGTCCCCCGAGGGAGGCAGCACTGATCTGTAGGTAGAGGAAGAGCCTTGCTCAGAGGCCAAGAGGCAAGAAAGACCGGAGAGAAGAAAGAGGGCTGAGGGTATTGAGTGGTGAGTATGGGCTGCAGGCCCTTTGTGCACTGGCTGAATATTCAAGGTAGGAGGACAAGTACAAGGGGAGGCCACAGTCACAGAATGTGACTCCCACTAACTACTTTTTCCAACTAAGTCTGAGAAGGGAGATGGCCAGACTACAGGGACAAAGTGCTCCAAGTCATGCCTGACATCTCTACTCCCAAACCAAGAGCCACACTGGACAGGACAGCTGCCAGCATGAAGCTGTGGTGCTCCTGTGATCCCACCCCCAAGGCTGGTCCAGTGGTTCCCGTTTGGAGCATTTCTCCCATCCGTTGCTTGCTTTAGTCTGGGTAGGACAGGCTGACAGGTGTAAGGAGAGCCCATCTTTGCTGATATGTTGGAAACGGTTGTATTCAAGGGTCTGGTCCTCCACTGTGGGGGAAGTTCCACCCTTGGCCCAAGCTTTGGTCCATCCCTCGGAGCCCTGGGTGAGGGCAGCAGCTTACGATCCCTGGGCTAAACGCGAAGCCTGCAGGCTGGACGGTGATCTGCGGGGTGGTGTCCACTGGCTTTGGGGTGGGAGCAGCGACAGTGGCAGCAGTGGGCTGTGGGAGTATGGCAGGCGTGGTCTGTAGCAGCGGCTGGGTCTGGAACAGCGTCTGGGGCTGAGCTGGTGGCCGGGGCTGGGCGGGCGAGGAAGCCTGGACTGGTGTGGCAGCTTGTACAGGTGTCGGGAGGGTGGTGTTCAGCACGGCAGCTGCTACGGAGCAAGGCAGAGACAGAGGTGCTCAAGTGTCTAGCCACGACCCAGCACGGCTCCAGTCCCAAGGGATCTGGCACAAAAATGACAGGGCACTGGGGGCAGTGGGCATGGGGCAGCTGCAATTCCCTTGACTCTTGAAGGGCTGGCACAGGCCAACATCTCTCATCCCCCCTCCCTTGGGTCAGTAGACATGTAGGTTCGAGAACCAGATGTTGACTCTTCTTGCAGTCCTTCTTGCTGGTCATGGGGTGGATGCTGGTGTGGGGAGGGGACAGTCTCAGGCAGCTGGCTGAAGGAAGGCAGGCCTGCTGGCCAGCCTGGTGTCCTGGCCTAGAGTCCCGAGGCGGTGCAGAGGCTCTGTGCCTGGGTGCCTATGACACTGGATCCAGAATCCAGAGTTGTTGCCCTGGGTGGGCTGCAGGCTCTGAGTCCAACATGGTAAGTACGAGTGCAGGGGTGGCAGTGTAGGGTGGTGGGGGCCTGGTGCAGTCCTGGGGAGAGTTGCCGTTACCTTGGAGCCCAGCTAAAGGTGGCTTGAAGACTGCCCCTGTGGGAGAAGCAGCGGCCAGTCCAGGGAGGGCAGCCACGGCTGCTGTAGGAATTGTCCACACGGCCAGCCCCTGCTGCCCAGACACTTGACCTGCAATACTGATGGGGATAAGAAGAGGTTGAGTAACCGCCCCTGCCGGAACCACAACTCCTGTCAGAACTGTGGCTAAGTTTTCCTGAGTCAAGACCTGCAAAAGCAAACGAGATTTCAAAAAGAAAAGAAAAAATAAAAAAAAATCAACATCCACAGCGCAAACGAGGGGTCTCTTGGACCCAGCTGAGCATAAGCAAGCATTCTGAGGGCAGTGGGGCAAAGGCCAGAGGAAAGCAAGAAAAGCCCCAGCTGAAGGCCTAACCTGTGGGTGTCTGGACCACACTACAGCCTGCAGAGAATTCACCCAGGAAAAGACCCGGCCCTGCCTCCAGGGCAGGTCAGGGTGCACAGGCCTCCTCTACCCCATGGTTTTTCTGCCTCTCAAACCTTCCCCAAGACGCACTTGCTTGTACAGTGTTTGTTCCTTTTTATTATTTCATTTACTTTTGAGATTATAATATAACTACATTATTTCCCCATTCTTCTTTTTCCCTCTAAAGTCTCCAATATGCCCCTCCTTACTCTCTTTCATATGGCCTCTTTTTTCATTAATTGTTGATATATATCATATATGTATGTATCGTGTGTGTGTGTGTGTGTGTGTGTGTGTGTGTGTATTTCTAAATCCCTAAGTACAACTTGCTTGGTTTATAATGTCACTTGTATGTGAGTTTTCAAAGCTGGCCATTTGGTGCATCCACTGGTTTGTGGCCAGGGCACAGGGGACCAGATGCTGCTAATAAGTGGTCAAGGGCCCACAAAGGCCTCCAAAATGTTTGAGAGGAGGACACCCTGGCCAAAAGCCTTGGAGGTCAGTGCATGAGCAGATGTCACCCAGGCTCTGCTGGCCTGTGGGATTCTACAGGCAGCTTTTCTTTGGTTGGGAGGTCTTATAACTTAACTGAAGACTGCACAATTCATTAACTCTTCTGCTGGGGTGGGGCTGATTGATGAGGGTGCTCACATCATTAGATAAGCACAAATTCTCCCAGGAAAGAATTAACCCCAGCGGGCTCTGGACCCAGGGAAGCTGTCCAGCAAGCACACATCCTTTTTCCTGATCTGGGAATGGGCCTGATGTGGGCCAGGGGCAGCCTAGGGATACCTACTGGGAGATTCCCTCCCTCAAACCACATCCTCTTTCCTGCCCTGCCTCATGCAGTTCCCAACCCCATGGCCACCCGGGGCTTGCTCCTGCCCACTGCCCTCTATCAGGCTCCCTGATGTGGCCCTTACCTGGGGGGCAGCTTGTACGGCCAGCGGTGTCAGGGTCTGTGACGCTTGAGGCTGGCTTGGGGCTTGGCTGAAGGTGGCAATGGCTGGGGCAGGACTCGGAGGGATCCCGGGCAGCGACTTCACTTCAGGTGAAATTGAAAGGAAGAAGGATGAGAATGAGCCTGATGTGCGTGGAAGGGTGACTGAGTAGAACATCTTGACTGCATATAGTTTAGAGCCAGCTGGTAGCCTTCCCTGGCCCATGGGGCACCTTCCAAAATGCTGGTAGTAATCACTAGAAGGCTGGAGAGCCCTGGGCCATACATGGAAGGTAGGAACTCTCATCCTACATCTAGTGGAAGGAAATGTTGGGCTCTTCTCAGCTGGATTCCAGCTCATCATTTCCTGGCTCTGTAAGACACTGTGGTCTGTCACATAGCAGCCAGGAGCCTGAAGCAAATGTATGTCAGGGTGGGGTGGGGCAGGGTGGGGAAGGGATGGGTAGGTTGGGGTGGAACTAGAGCTGAGAGGAAAAAAGTTACTGTCCTGGGCTCAGCCAGCAACTGAACTGTTCCTTGTTCCATCCAGGCCACCTATTTATAGGTTTCGGGAAGGGGCAAGTCCTGTAAGTGCAAAATCCCTGAAAACTGGGCATATTATCGTCACACTGTAGGGTCACAGTGGCTCCTCAGGCCACTCAGCTTTTCTCCACTATTCTGTAAAGTTTTTAGTCACAAAAAGGCAGTTTTTATGAGTTTCCAAAAGAATGTTCCATGAACATTCATCGCCTCTAGCTTGTCCAGTTCAGGAATTGGGGCGCCATGCCAGGAAATCTCATCACAGCCACACAACAGTGGGATAAAGACTGTAATTTCACAAGCCAGCAACAATAAAAATCTAAGGCAGTATGATGGTAGGCTGCTTGCTTGGTTCAATCCCCAGCACTGCAAAATAGATAGATAGGTAGATAGATAGATAGATAGACAGACAGACAGACAGACAGATAGATAGATAGATAGGCAGACAGAGAGATGATAGATGAATGGATAGACAGATGATAGATGAATGGATAGATAGACAGATGATAGATGGATAGATATTTGATAGACATATCGATAATAGATAGCCAAATAAGCAAGCAAGCAAGCAAATAGTAAAAAGTAGAATCTAGTTATTGAGTGATGGATGTTTTGTTTGTTTATTTAGTTTTGTTTTGGTTTTGAGGCAGAGTTTCTCTGTGTAGCCCTGGCTGTCCTGGAACTGGCTCTGTAGATCAGGCTGGCCTCAAATTCACAGAGCTCTGCCTGCCTCTATCTCCCTAGTGCTGGTATTAAAGGTGTGTGCCACCAACCTCGAGGCATGGCTTCTTTTTTTTTTTTTTTTTTTTTTTTTTTTTTTTTTTTTTTTAGATTTTTTAGTTTATTTATTATGTATACAGACTTGTGCTTGCATGCCAGTAGAGGGCACCAGATCTCATTCAAGGTGGTTGTGAGCCACCATGTGGTTGCTGGGAATTGAACTCAGGACCTCTGGAAGAACAGTCAGTGCTCTTAACCACTGAGCCATCTCTCTAGCCCAAGGCATGGCTTCTTTTTTTTTATTTTTTATTTTTTGAGACAGTTTTGGAGCTGTGTAGCTTTGGAGCCTATCCTGGCACTTGCTCTGGAGACCAAGCTGGCCTCAAACTCACAGCAATCCGCCTGCCTCTGTCTACTGAGTGCTGGGATTAAAGGCGTCCACCACCAACGCCCAGCTGGCATGGCTTCTTAATATGCCCTGCTGGGCTATATTTCTAGGCCCAGGCCTGAATTAAAAAGTTAATAATAGACACCAGTAATCAATCAATCAGTCAACCAATCAATCAGTTAATCAGTCTCTCTTCCCCTCCCCAACACTGCCATAAAACTCCATTGGAATACAGTGCCCAGCAGAGTGGGCTGCACTGGTAGGTGACCTCAAGGGTCCTGTCTAGCCTTGCAGTCCCAGCCTATGCTTTTTTTTTAATGTTTTATTTATTTATTATGTATACAACATTCTGCTTCCATATATACCTGCACACCAGAAGAGGGCACCAGACCTCATAAGGGATGACTGTGAGCCACCATGTGGTTTCTGGGAATTGAACTCAGGACCTCTGGAAGAGCAGTCAGTGCTCTTAACCTCTGAGCCATCTCTCCAGCCCCGCCTATGCTTTTTTATGTTTGGGGGATTTTGTTTTTGTTTTGAAATCAGCTTAGCCTAAGCCTATAACTGTTCCCAGAACCTAATAATAAACCCAAAAAAGTTGAAAGAACTGGAGACACACATATGACTCAGGCCTTATAAACCAGGAAAAGAAAATCAAGTGTCAGGATTCTCTCTTCTGTGAAGGGAAGCCACGTCGTTAACTGTCCGGGAAAACCAGGGCAGTCTGGATGATCTGAATATAGGAAAATTGAAAAACACCCAGTTTAGATCAGTTAGTTTTTGTCTTTTCCCTTGAGACTAGGTCTTGCTCTGTAGCCCGGGCTGGTTTTGAACTCAGGCTAGCCTTGACTCCTTAGCAGTCCTCTTGCCTTAGCCCTGCCTAGTGCCCAAGGGCAGGGATAATAGGCCTAGCCAAATACCTGGCTCTACCTTTACCACTGTACTTTTCTTTTTACTTGTTGAGACTCCACCTCCCCTCTGCTGGGATTACAATGGTGGGTGACCACACCCAGTTGTATGTGGTGTGGGGGATTGAACCCAGAACCTCTTGCAGGCTAAAGAAGCACTGCACCAGCGAGCCACAGGCTCAGTCCCTTTTCACTGTGCTTCTGACTTACCAGTTGAGCAGGACTTTAAAACCAGTGTTCCTCCTTCTCCTCCTCCTTTGTTCTTTGTTCTTTGGTTTTAGACTGAGTCTCTCTATGCAGACCTGGCTGTCCTGGAGCTTGCTATTCACACCGTAATAGCCTCAAACCCAGAGATCCTCCTGCCTTTGCTTCCTGAGTGCTTGGATTAAAGGCATGCGCCACCATGCCCAGCCTCTTTCTCTTATTACTGCTATTGAGTGACCTTTTAAACTTTTTCATGTAATAATTTCCTTCTACGTCAACAGTGATTTTTTTTTTTTTCCTGAGACAAGGTCTCACACTATAGCCCAAGCTGTCCTGTAACTTACTAACTAGCCCAAGCTGGTCTCAGACTCACAGCACTCTTTCTGCCTCAGCCTCCTCAGTGCTGGCACTATGGTCATGTGACACAACACTCTACTTCAACAAGTAATTTTTCTTGGGAAGAATTTTAATGCACTACGCTATAAAAAAAGAAAGATCCATATAAACACTCAGAGAAGTACTGTTTATGAGACTAAAAAATAGTTAAGAGTGGCCCAAGTCAGAAGCAAAGGTCTGAGACCATGTCAGTATAGGAAATGGGTACACCAAGGGATGGAGAGATGGCTCAGCTGTTAAGAGTACTGGCTGCACTTGCACAGGACCCTGGTTCGGTTCCCAACATCTACATGAAGGCTTTGTATTGCTAACCATCTGTAACTCCAGTTCCAGATCTAATGTCCTCTTCTGACCTCTGATAGTTCCAGGCACACATGTGGTGCTTGTATACACATGCAGGCAAAACACCCAAACACATAAATCTAAAAGTTTTTTGATAGAAAAAAAAAACAGACACATGAAAGAACATGGGAGTTTGTCTCATATTACAGAGTCTACCCTCCAGTGGCACAAGAATAAATATACAAGTGTGTGACAAGAACTACGTAGTTAGAGTGACATGAACCACTAGATTCTTTTCACTCTAGGTTTCCTAGGATGTGGGCTTGTGGAGTGGTTCCTTCTGAATACTGCAGCTACAGAAAGTCCCAGGCTCCACTGACAGCTGCTTTACCTCCATCACCTGACTGCCCCAGCTCAAACTCCTTCAGTTGGAGAAAGCCTTTTTTTAAGGTTTATTTATTTATTCTGTATACAGTGTTCTGCTTGCATACCAGAAGGGAGGACTAGATCTCTTTATAGATGGTTGTGAGCCACCATGTGGTTACTGGGAATTAAACTCAGGACTTCTGGGAAAGCAGCCAGTGCTCTTAACCTCTGAGCCATGTTTCCTGCCCCTGAAGGAAGCCTTTTATCAGAAGATGCTCACTGCTCTAATTGTGCTACACTGTGAGCAGTTGATTTAAGGTCAATTTCTGAGAGCATATTTGAGTAAGGGGAGAATTCTGACACCGGGGGAAAAAAATGGAGTCAAGAAAACAAGCAAAGGGGCAAAAGGGGCACTGTGGATAAACCCAAGAAACTCCCTGAACTTTTCTGAAAAGGAGTTCATTCCACATGGCTCTGTTGAGTCCACAGGGTGGCAGGGACAAAGTTCTTGTCTGTCCTGCCCCATCTGTGAAGCACTTTCCTTCAGAAACAGGTGGGGTCATCCTGGCCTCCATACTGGAGCAGTTTCCTAGGCTATGTGTGTGGGGGGGGTGCTTTTCCTCTTCCTTCCTTCCTTCCTTCCTTCCTTCCTTCCTTCCTTTTTTTTTTTGGGCTTCTCAGTATTGCTTTAAAGGTTGTCCTGGAACTCTCTGTGTACACCAGGCTGGCCTCCAACGTACAGAGATCCGCCTGCCTCTGCCTCCTGAGTGCTGGGATTAAAGGCGTGTGGGGGGGTGCTTTTCCTCTTCCTTCCTTCCTTCCTTCCTTCCTTCCTTTTTTTTTTTTTTTTTTTTTTTTTTTTTTTTTTTTTTTTTTTTGAGACAGGGCTTCTCAGTATTGCTTTAAAGGTTGTCCTGGAACTCTCTGTGTACACCAGGCTGGCCTCCAACGTACAGAGATCCGCCTGCCTCTGCCTCCTGAGTGCTGGGATTAAAGGCGTGTGCCACCAATGCCTGGCAACTTTTTGTTTTTCTGTCCCTCAGAAGAGGGAATAGTAAGTGATGTCACTAGGCTGCCAAGAACCTGCACACTGATGCCCAGACTAGGGAAAGATGAGGAGCAACAGAAGGACATCAGGATATGGGACCTAACTACCAGTCATGACATTAGTGACTTCTCTGACTTCTCACTCTCCAGCAGAGAAACTTCTTTTTGCAGTGGGTGGTGGCTAGTCCAGAGACCCACGGCTGGTCAAACCATGAAGAGTAAGTGACTGAGAACTAGTCAGCCCTAACTGAGACATTTGTATCAGCCCTAACTGAGACATTTGTATCAGCTCTAACTGAGACATTTGTATCAGCCCTAACTGAGACATTTGTATCAACCCCCCCAAAGGCTTAGGGAATAGCTCAGAAGAGGAGGCTGGAATGGAAGAGCCAGAGAGTAGAGAGTTCTATGTTTTTCTGGACATGACATGCACTTAGAGACTAACTGCAGCTATGGTTACCTGCACAAGATCTTCACAAGACCAGGCCTATCACTACTACATCATGCATGGGCAAGGGGTTCAACCCACCTCTTACTGGGGAATTACGGGCCACTAATAAGTACTGGGGAAGTACCTTCCATGGTAAAGCCACTAGTAAGTCACCTGCATTCCAGTAACTTCACATATCTTCATGCAAACAACTATAGTTAAACTTAGTGGGTTAAAAAAAAAAAAAAGCCGGGTGGTGGTGGCACACACCTTTAATTCCAGCTTTTGGGAGACAGACAGGCAAATCTCTGAGTCTGAGGACAGCCTGGTCTACAGAGCCAGTTCTAAGACAGCTAGGGTTGTTACACAGAGAAACTCTGTCTCAAAAACAAAAACAAAAACAAAAAACAGACAACCAAGTAGAAGAAGGGTTTTAGTAGCAGAGAGAAGGTAAAAGTTAAGTATATACAGGTATAAGACTGTCAGAGAATTAAAAAAAAAGAAGAAGAAGAAAGAAAAAGAAAGGCAGAAGGCTGGCAAAGATGGCTTGTGGTACTCAGTGGAAGTGGCAAGGAGGTTCAAGGATCTTTACAAAATGCAACAGCTGTCTTGCAAGGTGTTGGTGAAGAAAGTAGGGGAAGGCTCTCCATAGCTAAAGCAGTGCCTGGGCTGGCAGCTCAGTCCCTGTAACCGCTTTGGCTCTCCATCTGCTGCAGGCCAAACAATTCTACCTCATCCCCGAGGTCACCTCTAAACCCAGCCGAGGGAAGCAGACATCGGCAGGTATCACCTAATCTGCTTCCTTAGCTTGAGGGAGACAACATGCTCTGCCATCCTCATGCTCCCGGGATCTCCCAGCTCTGCTACCAAAGGGATTGGGCTAGAAAGCTGGCGGGATCCTGAGACCAGTTTATTCTGCTCTGGCTTGACAGTCTGGCATGGACCTAGGACCTTCTCTAGGCCAAACATGCCAATCAATCTTCACTCTGAGCCATCTCAACTCTGGCATGGGTGTGACTGCAAAGAAACCCAATTCCAGATGCAAGGAGAGCAGGCTATTCCTGGAAGCTGGCCAGAATTATGGACTGTGGCCAGAGGCTACCAAGTGGGCAGGAAGACCCTAATGCCACCTGGGCCCACAAGGGACATGTGAGAGCAACAGTGGATTAGAGCAATAGCCTCATACCAGTTGCTTCTGCGGAAGGATCTGGGTCTCGTGGCCCAGCTTCACCAGCAGGTTCACTAGCTTCAGCAGGGCCTCCACTCCGGGAGACATCAGCAGCCACACTCTCCAGTCCTTTGCTCTCCTCCTCGGCTGGGAGCGGTGCATCCACTCCAACTTCCAACACTCGGATGGTCTCATGGCCTGACATCACAATGACCTGCAAGTAGAGGACAGGGGACAGTTCTAGGGAAAGGGGCTGGAACTCTGGGTAAGACTAAGAGAGTGATGGGGTTGGATTCAGGATGCAGAGCTTTTATCCAGAGAATCCTCTAAGAATGCCAGGATTTGGGCCAGGCTACTACTGTCTCTGATTCCCAACAAGGAGCTTCTAGAAGCAAGCAGACCTTGGAGGCAGAAAGAAAAGTCCCATAGAGCTAAACCGTTAGGAGGTACTTACTTCTGTGTGTTCTCCATCTTGGACCTAGCTCAGGAAGTGGGAAATGGTTTGGCCTTCAAGCTCACAATAGCATCCTCTTAGATACTGAGATAACTCTCATAATAACTGAGGATGAGGACCCAGAAGAAATCTGTCCTAACTTCCCTTAGAGACCACCTGGAGGTTCCCAGAGGGGGAGCATGGGGGAGCATGGAAAGTGAGTGCTCCACAGTGCTCTGCAACTTGAGACCGTTTTTCTTCATTAACAGCATATGTGTGTGTGCATGCTCATGTGTGTGCATGTACATATGCTTGCTGCAGTGCTCATGCACCTTTCAGGAATGCTCTTTCACCTGGCTGAGGCAAGGCTCTTCCTCCTGGCAGGCTACGTACTCCCTTCAGCCTCCAGGAGTTCTCTGGTCTCATGTGAGGAGGGCTGAGGTTACAGAGACACAGCACCACATGCTTACATGGGTTCTGTGGCTCTAACTTGAGCTGTCTTAGGCTGCAAATGCTTTACCCACTGAGACATCTCTCCAACCATTGAGTAA